TTAGTTGTAGGTGGACACAATACCTATATTTTAGTTTATATTTTATTTATTTTTATGTGGTGCTGAGGATCGAACCCAGTGCCTCACACGTGCTAGGCAAGTGCTCTACCACTGAGCCACAGCCCCAGCCCCTGGGTATTCTTTTATATCAATAATTTTTTAGTTTTTATGTTTTCCTCTCTTCATTTCTGTGGAGAGTGTGTGTTGCTCTTTTCCGGTGCTTCTCCCTCCAGGCTCTCACACAGCTCACGTAGCCTGATGGCTCTGAGCATCCACTCTGCACCCAGAGTGTTCTGGGTTCAGATCTTGGCTTTTCTTCCTACTGACTGGGCAGCAGTGGGCAAATCACTTGACCTCCCTGTGCCTCCGTCTCCATCATGTGAGATGGGAGTCATGATGGCCTGAATCTCACAGAATGTCCTGAGGATTAAATCAGTAACTGGTTTGTAGTACTTATGACGTGTGTGCTATGATTATAGCCCTAGAGGCATGTGCTTTTAGCCCAGAAAAGAAAAGCATAGACTATTAAAAAGTAAATATGCAATAATTAAAATAACAACACTAAATTTGCTAGAGATTTACATACACATATATACATGTGCGCGTGCACGCGCGCGCGCACACACACACACACACACACACACACAATGATCTGGGTTTTAGTTAAGGAGCAGTGCTCATACCAAGAACTTGACTTTTGAATCTTCAAAGGCCAGTTGTAGGATGGCTTTCTCCAACACAGTCCTGGATCACAGGGCCTATGAACCCAATGATGGTTTTATGCTAAGGTCTCAGTTATCTCAATGGCGATTCATTTATTGCCTTGTCTATGCTATCACCAAGGAATTTAGATTTTATCAGAAAATCAGATCATGTTAAGTGGTCATCCAAATTAAGAGAAATGAATTAAGAAAGGAGAACTCGTCTGATGTAAGTTGACCAGTAGGTGTTCAAACCCAAACTCTGCTAAATGTTCCCCTAATTAGGAGTACTGACGTCTGCCCATCACATTTTTTGTGACTAAGCTCCACAAGGAAAGGGACTGTTCTGTCCCCAACATGCCAACACTCTGCCTAACCACAGGTAGGACCCCAGTAAATGCTTGTAAGGTGGATGGGCAGACAGATTATAGCATGAGTTCCCGAAGAACATGGCAAGCTAAATCTGCTCAAGTTGATTATTAAAATCGGGTTTAAATGACAAGGAACATTTGAAAAGGATGGGGACTCTTATACTCAAAACCTTGGATTTATTTCCAGCTTTTTTGTATAAACTTTTCAACGTCAACTTGTATTGCAGTCCAAAAGGCAGTTGATCATTTTACACACGACAGAGTCCCTTATATAGATGCTGTGTGCTTATATTCCACTTCACACAGTACAAATCCTTTCACATGATGATAGAAATAATTATTGAGACCTTATTATTATTTTTTATACATGATTATTACTCATTAAATTATTATTCATGTGGAACCATGCTAAAATGCCTACATGCATTGCCTCATTTATTCCTCAGGTCAACTATCAGTTTTATGTTCCTATTTTACATGGGGACACTGAGGTGCAGGGGTGACTTTTCCAAGGTCACGCAGTCACTAGAATTTAAACCTGCCTGAGTTCACACTGCCTCCTGAGAAAGTCTGAAAGTAGGGCAGATGTAGATCGCCAACGGACGAAACTGGAAACAGGGCCCAGGCCTTGCAGGCCCAGTCCAGTTCTGGTTCAGTTCCATGTTATCCCACGTTGGCCAGAAAAATGCTCTACTTAGACTGTACCAGTTCTAGAACTATTATTTCTTCTAATTTATTTTTCTTAGATAATAAGGGAACCTCGGTGTACTTATCAACAGGACACTTGATGACATGGCTTAGGTGCCTCACAATGCATCATTCATTCAGCAGACATGACTGGGTACATCCTAACTCTCCCTGATGGGGGCAAGTAGGGAGGGCTTTGCAGAGGAAAGCACATCAAAGCTCCATTCATTGGACAAAGATGCAGAGAAGTAGGTTGAGATGGACCCCCAGATCTTTAGTCTCCTTAGAATCTGCTTATGCCTGTTTTACCAGCCCTGCCTGTAACCTGCATCTCCGGCTTCTCTGGAGTTGTCAACATCAGTGTCCCCTGCCTAAATGATTATTTTTAGAATATTCAAAGCCTTCATTGCAGTTTGGAAAACCAACCAGTACTGGCTCTACTGAACTTTTCTTTAAAATCAGAAACTCTGCACCCTAAACTAATGCCAGAGTAATTGGTTGGCATGATTGGTCTTGCTTTTACTGCAAAGACCTAGGTCCAATTCTTGTGTGTTGGCCACATAAATGCCATTCATCTGCACCTCATCTTAATAAAATTTTAGCTGGAACATTTTGGCTAAAGTCTTCCACTCAGGAGTTTACAGATTGTGCTAGTGAACAGGAGGGAAGGAGGACCCATTTCAGTGGTGGCAAGCCCACTTGTCTTTGATGTTGTCACCTTTGATTTCATTAGTACATGTGGTCCTAAAGAAGTTTCATCAAAATGCTGAGATTGCTTTTTGTTGACCCCCAAAAGCTATATTTTTCAGTTACTGACTCTTTGTGTTTAATTATGCCAGAGTAGATTGGTGTGATACAAATATGATCATACCTTACATAGATCCACAAAGCTTGGCTTGTATCCACACTGGTCCAATAGTTAGGAATTACTTTCTGATCTGCCTGTTTATGAAGAGACTTTAAGGGGATCTGTCCTTGTGCCGTCCAATATAATAGTTATTAGCTAAAGGGGCTATTTACAAATTTTAAGTAAGTTAAAATTAAGTTAAATATTTAGTTTCTCAGGCTTGTGTTTCAAGTACTTGGTAGCCATGTGGCAACAGTGGCCACCATATTGGATGGCACAGTTCCAGTCTCTCCTCCCTGTCCTCTCTACCAACCGCAGTACCAGACACTTCATTACTTTTCATTCATGTTGATGCTGTTGAGGAGGAGAATAGAGGAAAGAAATGGGAAGTTGGCACATGTACATAATTAGCATCATGAACACTGAATAATTTTTTTTCCCTTTCTCTTCAGGTCCTTGAGGCCACACGGGTTAATCGAAGGAAGAGCGCACTGGCCTTGCGCTGGGAGGCGGGGATCTACGCCAACCAGGAGGAAGAGGACAATGAATAAACTTCCTTCGGCCCAGGAAACGTCTTTGGTGCTTGGGATACCAAGAAACCAAGAAATGATCACATCAAAGCATTTTGATGGACTATTTATTAAAGTGCATACAAACTCAGCAATCCTTCTGTAGACCAGAAACTGCAACACACAACGATGAGGAATAAAGCAAAAAGGGGGTCCACCCGTCGAATTCTGAGATCCAGGAGTCAGAAGAGAAAGGATTTCTTTGTGACTCAAAGAAGCCTCTGGATTTGGACCAGTCCACAATTGATCCGAAAAGACAAAGACATTATAAGCAAATCTACATATTTGCTGAGGGCAGACCTTTGACCAGCCTTGGTGGGTGATGAGGACAGACACTGAGGATAAGTCCATTAGTGAGCTGTAGGGCCCAGGCTGTTGCCATCTGTGTGGCACCGGGTATTTCTCTGCTCTGGCTTCCCACCCCTTGCTCGTGGCATCCAAGGTGTTGGATTGGCACCATTTTCTCCAGCAGCCATACAACGAATGGTGTTCCTCTCTGTGGTTGCCCCAAAGAGGCAGTTATGATAATATTTCTCTTACATTTGATTATTTTTAATTGGGAGCAATTAATGATTGCAATGTATACAATCCATATTTTTAAGACAATATATCTTCATGTTGCAGATGCAATCTCTTCTACACTAGGAGGTTGAGGAATGTGGGGTGAGAAAGCCAAACCAAATGGATTATTTTAGCTTTAGGATCTTGTCCGCTTATACTCTTGACTGATGTGTAGTTTAGAAGAACACATTTTCACAATTACGTTTCTTCACGTGAAAACTATATTTAGTGGGCAACGACTATTTTTATGATGGGATAGGGGAATATAAACATGAATAAAACCTGTACACATTGAACAGCTTGGTTCAAGATGGTAGGGGTATTTTTAGATGGCAATAATTGGGGGAAAAAAAAAGGTCAAACTCTGCCTTAGAGAGGTAGATGGCAAGAAATAAAAGTGTTTATAACTATTTTGTATTATAAAGTGAGCCTTAGAGGTAGTAGGAAGAAGGAAGGGATGTTTCGGGTCAATAAAAAGGAAACATTAAAGTCAATGAAGGTGGGGGGAGAACGAGGGAGGAGGGAGAGGGAGAAGAAGGACGTGAAAGAGATTATTTTTTGGCTGAATGCTTTTCAGGATGCTAAAGAGAAAAATGTAGAATAGAAATTTTAAGTGCAGGCTTGGAATCAACTACAAATCCTAAAGATGGTGTGTGTGTGTGTACACCTTTGTGTGTTTATGTAACGAGTGTATGTTCACGGGTGTATGTGTGTGTGTGTGTGTTAAATTTCGATTGCTCACGACACCTGGGTGTACAGTTATTTCCTCCAAAGATGTTAGCCAGCATCAGGAGTGAGTGAGAATTTCTTTTTTATGAAAAGGGATATAAAGGCACCGAGCTGATGCAGTATTTGTAATATTAAATTGACCTAACATGGTATTTGCATGAATCACAATTGCAGAGTTTTGAGTAGTTTTGTAATTTGACATTTAGGAATGTATCCTATTTATTCTCATGCTTTGGATTCATGCTTAGTATACACTAGAGGATGCTAGCTTTACTCTTTTCTGTCATTTAAAGCAATATGATAAGGGCATTCAGTAATTGGGTGCCCTAAATTTCTGGATGAGAAAATAACTAACCAGCCTTCGTTATTTTTCCTTTGTTTTAAAACCATTTTTTAAAAGCAATAATTAAATTAGATCTCATTAAAATTCTTTTTTTTTTGTTTTCATATTGTTATGTCATAAGCTCTGATATGTTATTCTCATAAGTAGCAATTCCACAAAACCCATATGTAGTGTTACACACATTATCTTTGCTTTTTTTTTTTAATCTTTGCTAGTGTTGACTTTGAGGAAAAGTTTATTCACAAATGGTGGGCATAAAGTAAAAAGATGGAACTGGCCAATAATCCCTAAAGATCCTTTCAAAGTGCCTCCGGTACCTGTCGTATGCACCCACATTCTGCAGATTGTAGCCGACCTTGCATGTGGGCATTTGGCAGTTGGGATGGTTCATTCTCCTGAATGTTCAGCCAAGTGCTAATCATTGGGGAACACTGAACAAATAAGACCCCTGATAGAGGAGTTCATTTTATAGTGGCAGAGGCCGGCATGGAGCCAGGTATTCCCAGGAAGGTGACCTCCATGTTAGAGCAGAAGTCCTGCCCCATTGGAATGGGAGCGCCCAGGAAGGAGGACCGCCGTTTGTCTGAGGATTTCTGGGCTGAGGACCGAATGGGAGGGGCGTTCTCTAAGGAGACCCATCAGAGGAGCAGAGGTGGCAGCAGCACCTGTGGCCCCAAGCGCAGTGGCAGTCAGGATGGTGGCCAGTAGGCTACATTTATGGGTTGCTCAGGAAATACACTGTGCTTCCTGCTTTGGGACAGACATGGAACTCTTAGAGAGCACAGGCATGCTGTTGACTAACTCCCCCCATTTTTCACAAGCGGGAACCATTTTCACCACTTACCTTAAGCTTTTGTTCTGTCTGGAAGGGGATCTTGTACCCAGGGGACAGCTGCCATGGAGAAGAGCTGGCAGCTGGGAGGAACGTTAGGAAGCCACCCAGTTCATGGGATCACTTTCAAGGCCACCTTGATTGAACAAGAGGCACTGATTGCTCTAGAGCCAGGATCCCTTGGGCCACACTCCACGAATAGATGAGGAAATAAATGTGATTTCTGTGACTCTTTCTCCCAGTCACGGACCTGTTTTTACTGTGTCCCCTACATCTCCAACCTTTACTAGTTCTCCCAAATTGCCTTCCGGATGACTGCTATTTCCTTGCTCTACTCACTGACAATCCCATTACATTCCTATTAAAAATGTAAATTACAGTTCCCCTGGGTAGAGCCAGGTTTTCTCTGTGCTCTTGTTTTTTTTATTCATTCAAGAAACATTCCCCCTCACTGCCACCCCATGCTTGCGCCATGGACACAGCACTGTGCTTTGGGATCCCACATGAACCCCTGTAGCTTCCTGAAGATGGAACAGACCCCTGGAGAAAAGTCATTCCTGCCTAATCCACCAGGAGAAAGAGGCTCAGGAAGCTCTCTGCCTCTAAGGCTCGGCCTCACCCTTCAATAGCGCACAAGCTTGTTAATGTCAACTAGAACAAATGTTGAGATTTTGCAAACTGTTAGAGCCTTCCCGGAAGTATTCCTTGCTGCAGTGTTTATGGATGTTCAGTTTCTTCCAGAGCCGATTAACCACTGACACGCCTTGGTTCTCTCATCCAGAAATTATGGAAACAGGGTCTGTCAGTGACAGAGGTTGGTTGAGTTCTACTTGGATGACAATGCAATTACCCATGCATGCTGCCCACCCTAGGCGATGACATAGAAGCAGTATCTATATCAGTGTCCACACACACACACACACACACACACACACACACACACACACTCATAACAAGAAACACTAAAGCAGTGTTGACTCTTGTCGCTGAAGACAAACATTTTTTTTTCAAATGAAGAATGGATTTAATTAAACTATGTATTGGGAAAAAAAAATAGCCTAAGTATTAGAGAAGGTGACTATATCCAGTTTTAGTTACAGAATCAATTTCCTGAATTTTTAGCATTCAGTGAGCTGCCAATTTTGATTGTGTTGCTCTTTATCCAGATGACATTTTCTTTTTTTATTGGAGGAGGGGAAAAAAAAAGCAGCAATACTGTGTTTGAAAATTATACTCTGTATCTGGCTTTCCTGTGTATGTTAACCACTTCGATGTTATTCTCCTGCTTCGGTTTTATAGTGATTGTGAGGCATTCAATGCAAGTATACAGTTATTTTCTCATTAAAAACCCGATGTGTGTTGTGTTTTTATAAAAGATGGCTACTTGTTTAACTGAGGGGAGTTGGGAAGGCTAGCCTAACCTTGAGTACAAGCCTGGGCCCTTGGCCCCTGCTTCTGTTGCAGCACGTATGGGACAAAGGAATGCCATTGTAGCAGACTGTCCCCAAAGCCCCTTCTCAATATACAAGATGGTCGGTGGCAACCAGATTTTGGCACCGCCCGCACCCCCCCCTTCTCTCTCCTACTAGGAGTGAATCCAAGGGCCCCCTACCACTGAGCAACACCCTCAGCTCAACCCTTATTTTTTATTTTGAGACAGAGTTTCCATAAGTTGCTGTGGCTGGCCTTGAACTTGGGATCCTCCTGACTGCTGGATTTATAGGCGTGGGTTATGCGCCTGGCCACTGTATCTCTTGTAAGAACCTCATGGGTTGCACTGTTTTGGTTTCCATTTTACATGTGAGGGAACTGAGGCTCTGGTAGGTGAGTTTGTTGATGCCATGTAGCTCGTTGGTGGCAACATTTGAATTTGAACCTGGGCATCCTGACTTGAGTGTTGCTCTTAACCCCCGCACCCCAATCCCCCAGAAGCACACAATGGCACTTTCACATATGAAGCCGGAGTAGACCTGCGTGAGCTCTGGGTGGGCTGGCAACATCTCCTCCTGCTGGCCCTCCAGGCTCAGGTTTGGTGTGAAAATTCGGAGGAGTGGAGTTTGCAGAGGAGCAGCAAAGAAGTTTCTTCCTTTGGATGAACTTTCTCTGGGCTCCTCTCTTCGGGATCACTCTCCCTGGAGATGGTGAGAGAAGGTGGCCTTAGCATTCCCACTGTTGCCAAAGAGGAATCAAATGATTGTGTGACAGAAATATAGAAATGCATTAAAATTAAAATTGTGGTGATGGTTGCATAACTCCAGATTGACTAAAAATCATTGAATAGTAAACTATATTATGCAAATGATACCACAATAAAGCTCCAGCCAAAAAAGAGTGGGGGCTTAAGGGAGGAGTAGGGAAATAAAGGAACTCAGAGTTTGGAGAAAAGGGCCAAGGATGCCATGTACCTTTAGTTAGGGAAAAAAAATAATAATAATGCCTTTTAAGTCAACAGTTTATGGCCTCCAGTCCACCCACTAATAAGGAAGGAAGCTCCTCTGTGGATCACCCTCCAGGAACCAGGGGCTATGGAGACAGTCCCAGATTTGGCGGCCTTAGGCAGAGCCGCATCAGTCAAGGACTGCCATTTGGTGGGTGGAGGCACTGGGAGCTCAGGCTGTGACAGGCCAGTTTCCTCAACTGGTGGAGAAGGGATGCCGAGTCTGGGATACCCTGGATGCAAGTCTTTTGGGATTCTTACTAAGCAGGCTCTCATCACGACCCTCCGATGTGAAGGCATCAAGACTTCCCTAGGCCAGGGGCGGGTATGCAAGCTTGTGGGTCTGTGATAGAGCCTCAGTGGGAAGGATCGGGGTCTATGCCCCTTACCCCAGGTTCATCTCCATGTTTTGATGGTGGCAAGATGGCGATCATCATGGCACATGTAAGGGGATGAAGTTACCTTGGAGCACACCCCTCCCTGCACAGAACCCACCCAGAATTCATAATTGGGCTGCTGGGGACACAGAATATGGGGAACTGAAAAGTAGAACTTGGAAGGTTCTAAACGTACGAGATGATGCCAAAGGAAAGGACAGGGTCCCAGGAGATACCTGGTGATGCCACACTGGCAATTTCTAAAAGTATCCTGCCTTCTCTGCAGGGGGGGAAGAAGAATGTTTGCACAGTGCAGACTTCTTGTACCAAGAAAAAAAATGATCTCAACGCCCATTAACTGTGATAGGAGAGTTCTTGAAACTTCTGAATTCACAGAGGATGGACTCTGAACCACTGGAATGAAATTGCAAATCTCTATTTTTTTCTCTGCCCATGTACTTTTAGAATATTCTAACTCTTCAGTGTTCTCCAGCAGGTACCATCAATGTGCCTATTGGGAGCGGGGGTCCTCAAATTTGAGGGGGGCCCATGTCATCTGGAAGGCTCATTACACCCAGTTGGGGCCCTTCCCCTGAATCTCTGATTGAGTGGGTCTGAAGAGCAGCCCAAGAGTTTTCAACAGAGTTCCCTGGAGATGCTGCTCCCACTGGCCCAGAGAACTCATTTTGGGAATCAAGGGTCCAGAGTGATTCGCAAGACATGAATAAGTGTGGTCCTACCCCTTAATGTGTGAAAACTAGTGAAGTTGGAGATGTGGCTTGGTGGTACAGTTGCTTTCCTAGCATGCCCGAGGCCCTAGGTTCAATCCCTAACAACACACACACACACACACACACACACATACACACACACACACGCACACACGCCTGGGAAACAGATTCATACCACAGGTGCATATGGTTCTGGGTGTTCGCGCTGTTTGCGGGAGTTCTGTGCGCTTGCCCAGCACATCAGTTCACCCTTTGTGGGGGTTTTGGTTAAGCACCACTTCAACTCCGATTATCTGGTGAGGCCCTCTGACATGGGGCTAGGCAGATTAAGAAGAAAATAGGAAAGAGAACAAAATTTACATCTGTTCGGAGTTTAATTTCAGGTCCAGATCAAGGGGTTCATTTGGCCATCAGAAATTTTGATGGTGCACAGTGATGACGAAAGCGTAAATTTGGACTTAACATATGGATTCGATAACAAGTTTTGAGGCCGAGCACTGAGATCTCGTGCCTCTTTGTTTAACTTTGGCTCGTGTCTTTCACAATCACCAGGTGAAGTCTATTTTCTTTCATTACAAGGTTTGGTGGTCAGCAAGAAGGCTTCAGGGCAGCTACCCCTTCTACCCTGTCCATTGTATAAGTTAGGAACTGCCTTCGGGCCAACTAAGCAGTGACAACAATAGCCCAAGCAAATAGTGACCTTTGTTTTTGAGACTGGTAGAACTGGAAGTCATCTCTTGATTAGGCCATTAGGATCAGTGGTGCATCATCTGACCACAAATCTCCACCTGTGAGAAGGCGCCTGCCAGTCTGCCATCACCTATCTCCTATATAAACCACCCCTGCAAGATGGTTCCTTAGGTAAAAGAATCCCTGACATCTTCCACTTAGCTTAACTTAATAAAATTCGTTCATTCCCACCACTGTGCCTCTTGACTGATTGGCATTCATGGTGCAGCAAGCATACTGAGCTCGTGCAAAGTAACAGCTGGTTTGAATGGCCCAGATATTCTCAAATTTCCTCTCACTATTGGACCCAAATAATTATATATTCTTCCAGACATAGAGGAATCCATGTGCTTTTACTAAAAGCCAGAGAGGTTTCAGAACTCTTTAGTGGAGGGTCACAATGTTCCAGGAGCTTGCAAGGAGATATGTAGGAAGGAGCTTCTCAAGATGAAGGTGAAGGCTACAGAAGCATCTTCACCCATAGGGGAAAGTTGCTGTTCCTCAATTCTCAGTTGACTTCAAGATGCCCATCTGTGCCTGCAAGTATGAAATATGGCCACAAGGTGGCAGTGCTCCCTCAGGTGAAATAGCTTCCATGGTCATGGGCCCTCCTTGGGGGTTCAAGGACGACTTTCACTTTCCACTAGACAGGAATCCATGGAGATGTATACAGAGTCCCTCAAACACTGCAGCAAAACTACCCTGTGTACAATCCTACCTGTTGCTTCGTGCAATGTAACCTGTTGTCAAATGTGGCACTTCACTGACATTTCCATGGAAAGCTGACCATTGTGGCCAGATGGCAGGGGACACCTGCATGTTTCTACCAATAATAGCTCTCAGTGCTTAAGGGCACTTGGCGTGGATAATTTAGTTCAACTCTTAGAACATTCCTTTGAGGTTCGGGCTGTTAGTATCCTCTCCCCGTTAAATGAAGAGACTCCTGCTCAGAGAATTCGAATAATTTGCACGCGCGCGATCACTCCCCCCCCCACACACACACACTTGATGAAATTATCCCAGTTCTAAGTGCCCATTTCTGTACTGGATAGAGTAAATCTAGATGGTCAACAAAGAGGGACAATAAATAATTCAGTGCCTGGAAAAAGCAGAAGTTTCTCTCTCTCCCATTACAGTCCAAGGGTAGCATTTGAGGTCTGGGTTTTAAGCACTCATTTAGAGACTTCAGCTCTCTATCCTGTTACTGCCACCCCCAAGATCTTGTTGTCATGGGCTTGGCTCAGTTTTCTATACCTTAGGAATTTATAAGGTCTAGTAAGCCGTGTTACAAAAAACATAAGTGGCTCTATTTCCTGGGGCCCCAATGGCAGTGGTTTCCCTGCATCAATTAAGACAGTTGTTAACCTATTAAAGCTTGGGAAACCATAATTCCAGGAGTTTTGCTGCTTCCATGAAAGCTGTTAAGGGAACAACTCCAAGTAAGCCAAAGGAATAGGCTGATAAGAGTTGATTGAGGGGGCTGGGATTGTGGCTCAGTGGTAGAGTATTTGCCTAGCACATGTGAGGCCCTGGGTTTGATCCTCAGCACCACATTCATAAAAGAATAAACGAATAAAGTTATTTTTTTAAAAAAAGTGTTGAGTTGCATGACTTCTCTCTTTGCATTTCCATACCTAGTTCACTCTTTCCTGTCGTTACAATAGCACAAACTATGGGAAGATGAATAGCTACAAGGAGAGATGGGAAGAACACAGAAGAACTACCTGATAGTCCTGGAAGGACCTTGTTATGGTTTGGATGCAAGGTGTCCCCCAAAAGCTCACGTGAGACAATGCATGAAGCTTCGGAGGAGACATGATCGGGTTACAGCCTTCACCTAATCAGTGGATTAATCCCTTATGGGATTAACTGAGGGGTAATTGGAGGCAGGTGGAGTGTGGCTGGAGGGCGTGATTCCTTGGGGGTGTGGCTATGGGGTACATATTTGAATCTGGCCAGTGGAGTCTCCGCTTCCTGGTCATCATGTGAGCTGCTTCCCTCTGCTACACTCTTCCACCATGATGTTCTTCCTCGCCTTAAGCCCCAAGGAATGAAACTGTCCATGGACTGAGACCTCTGAAACCGTGAGTCCCCAAATACA